AATAAAAAAAACAAAAATAAAATAAACGACAACGCCAAATTAGCCAACATTCGGAATCTGTCAGCTACTGTTCTTCCTAATTAATAGCGAGATGCCTGTTCAATTTCGTGCTCCGTTTTGTCGTCGCCATTCGCATTCAACATTTGTACTCGTACACGTTTTCGTAGACACAATCGTTTTGATTTGTTTCAGATATCGAACTTGTTTGTCGCCCAAATGGTTTGATGATGTATAAATCGGTCTCAAGTGATCTTTGACAGTCATGAGATTGAGGTATGATGGAAATATACATATTTATGTATGTATGTATGTTTGTATGTATGTATATTATATTATATTAGGTAAAGTAAAAAGTTCGTTCGGTTTTTATCTAAGAGATGGCGTTGTCCATAGCACCAGTGTCGGGATGCCTGTCGTAGCGATAAAATCATGGAAATAGTGGAAACAAACCGTCACTTGTACACTTATTTAATTGCTGAGGAACTAAAGATAAGCCAGAAAACCATTTGGAACCGTTTGCATAACCTTCGATTCAAAAAGAAGCTCGATTTTTGGGTGCCACATTCCATCTGTGAATCGCAATAATTGACCCGTTTTTAAAGCGGATTGTGACGCACCTTATAGTCCGGACCTGGCACCAAGTGATTACCATCTTTTCCAGTCCATGGCGAACGCGCTTAATGGTGAAAAGTTGGCCCCAAGAGATGCCTGTGTGAAAATTGGATCTCCGAGTTTTTTACCAATAGGAACGCTGCCTTCTACGAGAGGGGTATAATGAAGTTGGCATTTCGTTGGCAACAAGTTTACGAACAAAAACGGCGCATATTCGACTTAAATCGGAGAAATGTACATAAAGTTATCATATTTAAAAAAAAATGAGTAAAAAACCGAACGAACTATTTACTTGACCAATATGTATATGTATAACTGGTGCTTTCTAACCGCTGAAGTGATTTTTGGCCGAGCTCCTCCTCCTTAAATTTGTGGTGTCCAAAAAATGAATTTTTTATATTAAGTCGCCATCGAAGAATTACTTTTAAGCGGAGCGTATTCTCTCTATAAACTAGGTATGATCAAGACATCGGTTTTTGTTTTTCACTCATGCCTTTCGCTTCTACCTGGAATCTCTTCGGCACTGTTTTGGCAACATTGTCAGATATACAGTGTTTTTTCTCTTCACTGTGGTGTGACAATGCTCATCGTGCTATTATTTCTTTTTACCTCGTGGAAAACCAAATTTGATTGCCACCTGTACGTAAGGAACTTGCAACGCTGTAGCCTAGTTTCGTTACACCGAGTTGCTTGGGGATTGCTTTCAGGGAGTGAGCATGTCAGCCGTGCAGGAAACGGATATCTGTTGAAAGTTGTTCGAGAAAACTGGAGACATATCTTCCATATATCACCAAATAGATAATTAGATAGATAGGTCTCGTCGTCAAGGCTGAATTTTCTGACTGTTGCACCAAAAACACCTTCATTCTTTATTCTGCCGTGAGAATAGTCAAGCCCGATTTTCATATTATAGCGCGGGCAGAGCTCATAAGCTTTGATGTGGACGCCGTCGGAGACTTTCTCGTTTCGCCACAGATCCAAAACCAATTTCACGCTTCTTTATATGGCTGCTGTAGCATATCTCACAAGGACCTATTCTCACAGGTAGTTTTTCAGGCCATCGGGTCGGTTGAATGCCGGTAATGCCAGTGTTTATTTTATCGAGAACAATATAGCAGCTAGTCATTGACACTTTTCCAATTAAGTGAGCTTACATTGCGGGCGGTAGCCGAATGGTTAGCATTGCGTACTGCCATTCGGAAGGCTCGGGTTCAAATCTCCATGCGACTTACATCCAAAAGTTATAGAAAATTAATTTAAATAAAAAAAAAGCTAAATTTTCTATTTGCGGTCGTCCCTAGGCAGGGAATGCAAACCCTTCCGAGTGGATTTCTGTTATGAGAATCTAAAGCTCAACAGCCGTTCGGAGTCGGCTTAGTATAACCTGTAGGTCCCTCCAATTGTTGGATATGCATCAAGACGCAAAACCGTAAATTGGAGGAGGTGCTCGGCCGAAAATCGCTTCAGCGGTTAAAAAGCGCCAATTATATATATATTGCAGGTGCATTTCCTAATATCTTTAGAACGTTTGCCAAGGAGGTCATCAAAAATGGAAGCTCTCCATGACAGACGCTCACTTCCAGCCGCACTTCGTGGAACTTTCTCCTCTCTAGCCGTAACCCACTGGATAGCTAGAAATGGCAACGACTGTTTTTTTTTATCAAAAGTGGCTGGAATGTGCCGTATGTCCAATATTTTGTTGCACATTTCTCATTATTAAGTTCATCTTTTATTGCAATCGATCAATTGCTTATTTGAATGTTCCCACAGCACGTACGTATGTACGTATGTACGTATATGTATATGTAATACTCTAACCCGAACACATTGAACGCCGAGAGTACCACCATTTGTATATTAAGTGGATGCGACTCAATCGGTCAAGCTGTAAGTTTATCCACACACACACACACACACACACACACAAGGAAGCAAACGAACTGCCGGCTGTGGGCTGTTGGCTGCTGGCTCTTACTCCTGCACTTAACTCTTGGTGTATTCTGAGAATTCCATGAGGACTGGCTCGGCCATTATTGTTATAATTGGCCAATATGCATAAATAATGTGAATATGCTGTAGCTGAGGTAGTAGCTAACAGAACAACAACAACAACAACAATTGTTAGTAATAACAATAGCCAGAGGAGAGCTGGAATAACAAACATTCAATGACAGCTTAAAAGTTGACCATTCAGATAGCGGCAACAACATTCCGGAGCAGCACTACACCACCATTCACCAGCTCCTTCCGTCAAGCCGCTACATCCGCCATGTGGGTGAAACGTTGTAGCGTTGAGCGGCAGAGGCGCGAGAGCGCTTCAAGTGGAAGGCGAACATGTCAAATAAACAATAATCATAAAAATGCGATGAATTTAACTGCAGCGAATTGACGACGCAGAAAACGGAACGGCGAAGCACCGTTGACGATGCTTGAGAAGACGTATGCTGGTTCACAGCTATTGAGTTTGCAGAGCTCGCAACGCTTAATGCCCTCTTCCCTTTGCTGGTATCTGAATAGCTTCGGGTTCTCTTGCTGCTTTTTTTTTTGTAATATTCCTTCTACTCGTACGCATATAACTAAAACTTAAACGGTTCATTAAGCAACGACTGGTGATGAAACCTTCAAGAGCTAAATCATCGGCGAGTGCGTTGAAGGAAGCGAACAGTGGCGCGGCTATACAATCTTGCGCTGGTATTCGTCTGAAGTGAATTATGAATGGAACCCGCTACCTAGACGCAGCATATACGGCGGCGCTTGTACGCTATTCAAGACGATAAGTGAATGTGTGCGTGTGTGTGCGTCAGCGAGCAGTCACAACGGCAGTGCGTTGGAAATGCACTTCAAACACTTCGATTTCCATTTATAGGAATCTTACAATTGCTAAAGTAACACCATGGGAAATGCGAGAACATTGGCGGAGGCTGCGACCGCGCGACAGTGTGGGCTTTATAAATCAGTGATGTTGTTAGACATTAGAAAGCCATTTTTGTGTAGTTGTTCTAAATCATTATTTACTCAGCAATGTTGTTGGTTCTGGAATGCCTTCGGTTGGCGGAAACTCATTAAGTCTATGAATTCTGTAAATTTGTTAGCAGATAATGTGTCCGCATGGACATGGAATGAAGTAAGGAAAGAAAAAGGAAAATCTAAGAAAGTTTTCTACTCACCGCTGATTTGAAATTATAATCATAAGACTTTCGAAATAATTAAAGTTGTTTTACAGAGGTTTTTAGCATTCCTTCTACTGGCAGTTTCTTAAGTGGTACAATCAAGACAGAATCCAGTTTATTTTGGAACAGTCTTCGATATTTAATTGTAGGTATTCTACTTATAGCGGGACGTCGGACTGTCATATACCTTAATGATTGGCTCTTATGTCGCTCTTGCAATGCTTTAGAGTTGAATTTTAATACGTCTCTTGATATTACCTTTACTCCGGAATGGGAGGGTGTGCCATTTCGGAAAAATTATTTACTGGTATCGCCTTGTGTAGTGTGGTTTCTTAAAAGCAGGTATTAAGAGTTTACTGGTTCTGAGAAATACAGTGCTTACAACGAGAAATATCGTTAAAGTCTGTCAAAACCTTCTCAAAGCCTTCACAATAAATATGCAATGGGTTCCAAGACACAGAGATATTCTAGATACCTGTAAAGCAGATGAGCTACACAGTTTAACTGCAATTAGACTCAGATAACGGGGCAATGTATGTAACTATATATAATAATTGGCCTTCAGTCCAAGCTCCAGAAAAACACTCAGTGGTGATGGGTTTTTTGACACTTAATGGCAATTTTCATATACTAAACTTTTCATATTAAGTTACCTTAACAAGACTAAAGGGTTGTTCAAAGAAGACAAAGTGGTCTGAGAGGAACTTAAGTACAGCTATATCACTATGAGCCTCATAGATTCGTTTTCAGACATCCACTGTATGTATCTACTCGCCTACCTAGGTCGCTTAGATCACTCTTCCAAAGTGTGGAGCGTTTCGAAGGAATTTACTATTTTTTTTCAATACATGCCCATTTAGGCGAATACTTACCACCCTAATGAATTTTCCATCAAAAGGGTGAGCAAAGTGCCTAATCCCTTTAGTGGCGCTTGAAGGTAAGACTAGGTAAGGCTATAAAAGTTTGCTAACTTCCGTACTCGAAATAAATAATTTTTTTTTTTTAATATTTAGCTTGACAAGTGTCTTACCAAAAATTTAGCTCGAAGAATAATTAATGAAAATAAATTAAATTAAATTTTAAATTTCCCAACCTGCTTGGGGAGCTAAAAAATGTGTACTTTTTGGAAATGTATGCAAATAAAATGACTTCAAGTTTGTTTATTTTTGTAAAAATTTATTTGAATTTTCTTCTTTTTTATTAAAAATATTTTATTCTCTACTCTTTGCAATGAAAAATGTTCGTAGATTGTCGGTAACCCTCCATCATCTTTCGAATAACACATTTTGTTGGTATAGTGTCACAGTCGTCTTGCGATTTTGGCGGATTACGCAGTTCACATATCGGATATAACTGTGCATTACATTTATTGTCATTCATACGCATTCCAGATCTAGTTGCCTTCAAGTCTACACAGTCTTCATTCGAATCATTATTCGGTTCACCAAAATTCCAGTTTTGATAGGCCATTAAGCGACCGGTGCTGATCGCCACAAATTTACCCTCTGTTGCCTGATCGTGATAACTAGACCAAAAGTAGTAGCTGTCGTAGTCATTTTCCATTAAATACCAGTTTAAAGCTTGCATTTCCGATCTCGATTCGATCATGGCCAAATCGCTGTTATATGAACGACAAAAGTGTACAGCCTCAAACCAATTCATCTGAGTTTTAAAACAGCAAATGAAATAAAGTATAAAAATAATAATATATATGTAATTATTGAAAAAAAAAAAAACAAAAATTAAATAAAAAAGAATAGAAGTAAACTTATTTGAAAAAAAAATTGTACAATATAATATAAATTGAATAGGAATTTAAAAATAATAATATAAACTAGTCTTAAGAACTAAAAAAAATGAAAAAAGTAAACACACAAAATAAATAAATAAATCAAGAGATAATAAAAATGAAAGTAAATTAAATCAAATAAAAATTAAATAAAAATATTATAAATACAAATCAAAATAAACTCAAATAAAAGAAGAAAATAAAAAGGCAAAATAATTAATAGATTAATCATAAAAATAATAAAAATTTGAAATAAAATAGAATAAAATAATTAAATTAAGTAAAATTTCCAAAAATAAAAACAAAAACTATTAAAAATTGATTAAAATAACGTAAAATAAAAGAAAAGAACAAAATATAAAATGAAAAATAAAATATAATACAATAAAATATTAAGATAAAATATATATAAAATAAAAAAATTAATAATGAAATAAAATAGCATAATAACAATATGAAACAAAACAATATTGAATTAAAATAATGCAAAATACTATTATTTAAAACAAACTATAAATAAAATAAATTATGTTAGAAAAATTTAATTAAATCGAGTAAACAAATAAAATAATCAAAAAGAAAAAAATGCAAAATAATAAAAAAATACAATATAATAATAATAAAATAAAATAATATAAAATACATTATGATAAATATAAATGAAACAAATAAAAAATTAATTAATAGACGAACAATAAAAAATTAAATAAAATAAAAAAGTGAAATAAAATAAAAAAGTGAAATAAAATAAAATAAAATAAAATTAAAATAAAATAAAATAAAATAAAATAAAATAAAATAAAATAAAATAAAATAAAATAAAATAAAATAAAATAAAATAAAATAAAATAAAATAAAATAAAATAAAATAAAATAAAATAAAATAAAATAAAATAAAATAAAAAAGTAAAGAAAAAAAGTAAATAACATGCAGGAACATACACAAATATTATAAGTAAATGTTCAATGAATTATTATTACGTTCGTTTACCTTCTGACCTACAGTTACATAGTAATATTTTTTGCCAATTTTGGTGAAGGGGTATGTGTCGCCTTTGTTACATTCTGAAAATAAATCGAGGAATATATTCACTATAAACTCTAGAACAAAAAACTTACCTGTTGCTGTTGCAATAAATATATTACAAAAAATATATGTAAAATATAAAAAATTTGAAAGAAACATTATCGCCGGACTAAACTAAGAATATGCAGCAAAGAAAGTATGCTAGCCAGGCTCAGTGGTTTGCTACTGAATAAATTCTAATGCAATATTATCGCTGAAGTGAATGTTTATTGCAAAAAATATATGAACAACTGATAAGATTGCAACAAAAACATAGTTTGGAAACAAGGAAAAAAAAACAAAAAAATTTGCTTATTGGGAATTATAAAAATTTGCTTGAAACATAACTAAATTTAGAACTAGTAAACATCGGAGAAATATTACTCAAATCTGCAAGAACGCAAAGGTGTGGGAGATTAATAAATATAATATCATAAATATATAGCAGTTGCTCAAACCGATTTGCTACTTCGGTTCAGGTTTCGTTACAAAATTGTGTTGATAATTTAAGTACGGAACTGATGTCATGCAAGATTACACTTGAAATTACTTAGCGGGAACTAGGATCGTACAGCTGGGCCGTTATTAGACCAACTTTAATGCGTGTAGCCTTGGTTTGGCGGCCAGAATAACAGACGCAGTACAATACTATGAAATTAAATGTTATATAATGGGTAATCGGTGTGGAATGTGGAATTTTTAAATCATATCAGATGAACAATTGCGCTTAACATAGAACTGCCTTTAGGCATACATCTTCATTCGCAAGGTTACAGCAGATTCCGGTATCAGATAACTGCTGGTTGGCTCTAAACCAGCTCGCAGCTCTACTCGCTACCTCCACAAACCCGATTCTTGGCTACAAGAACATTTGCAGTAAGGAAAAAGCGGACAAATTGGCCAAGTAAGGAGCATCTCTTGAAGAATGTGAAGCAGAGATAACATTATGCTCGCTATGAACAATTAGAAGAAAGCTTTATTTGCATTTTGAACAAATAGCACTGAACACATGACCAAACAAGAACAAAGCATATACTGAAAATGTCTAGGGAATGTATAAATATTTGGGTCTTTAGCTCATCGCAGAGCATATCTATCTTTGCTATAACAAACGTTGCCGCAGCTGCGAATAAGAATGGTATAGGGATCATTGGGATCGGAGTTCCAGATTTGCACTTTTGCCCACCTTACCCCGAGTACGTTAGAATGCTTCTGCAGAAACAGATCCCCTTTCTTCAAGTTGCATCTGTGAATCAAGACTACCCGATTTGGATGCCAATGTAACGTCTACGCAATAATTCGTTGGAGTAAGATGTAAAGGCTTCAAAAATACACTCGAATGGGCTGACTTGATCTGCGAGCCGCAACTACAATAAAAAAAAACTGAGAATATGGAGATTGGTTTGCCTATGCTTCGAACACATTACCCTCCTTATAGTAGCACGAGTAAAGTGCCAGTCAGTGGGTCAACAGAAGATAGATGTGAGAGGGCTTGCGAGAGCAAACGAGGGAACGCTAAAGGGTCAAAGGGTACAGTTGCTTGAATGTTGATTGTGAATCTTTACGCGAGGAGCGTAAATCCTTGCACACTTTTTGAGCCCGGCTAACTGCTTCCTGCCATTGCGTGCAGTGGAGTTTATCTTCTCACAGATGCAGATTTACCATCTCATCTTTTTTTGCGTCCTCCCATCGGTGCTCTTTGAGTAGCTGTGATTGGCGGCGGCGCAAACTCAGTTGCCTTACAGGATCGAGATAAGACCAGTGGGCTACGCCCAGTTTTTCGTACAAACCCAGTGTTCACCTGAATGCATTCCAACTTCTCCCCTATACGCTTAAATGATGCTTACGGATGGATTGAGAGCTAGAACAATCTATTGAATTTGTGTTTTTTTATTTTTTGGCAGTCCGAGCAGTCAGCGCGAGCTTAAGCCACCACTGACTAGCATCAAAAAGTCTCTCAAAGGTGCATCCGGTGGATATTTACACCTTCTCGGATGACTGCCAATTCGAGTTCACCAAAAAATAAACTGAATTATTTAACTACACAAAATTTTATTCGAAAAAATATTGAAATACAAAATTTAAAACCATTTATTCATGCATACATATATTAGTAATGTATATAAAAATTTTACAAAAACAAAATTTGTTGTAAAAAAATATAAAAACAAATTACACTTAAAGAAATTCCACAATCTCACAATTAAAACAAGCCGTCGGCAGGTGGCTCAATTAACGCCCACTAATCATCCGCTCCCATGCGCTTGTGTACAGAGCTAACAACAACTAAAACTCACAACAAATGACTGCCATTATTGTGCAGCGCGCTTTGGAAGGCAACTCTCCAAAAATTCCGTAAATGCAAGCACTGTAGAGACCCCAAGAGAGGAGAGTCTTCAGTTTGGATGCGCTGAAGTTGCTTAAAGCAGAGCATGGCAGCAGCAGGGTTGAGTTGAGTCTTCGACTATTAACTCACCGGGCCAACATATCATGAATGTGTAGGTCCCTGCTGTGTGCCATTGGCGGCGAGTAGCGAGTAAAGCGGAAACTAGTTTGCGACCCAAACACAATATGTACTACTCGTATGAGGCTCTTCTCAATTGTTTGCCCGCTTTATGGCTTGTGTTTCTGAGGTTGCGTGTTGTTGTGTGAATGAAACCAGTTTAAAAGCTAGTTTTTATTAAGCTTCAAAGTGTTTTGTTTTTTTTTTTTTCGTACGTTTATTTTTTCCCGCAGCACGTCAAATTGCTTCGTAAGTAACGCCTACCTTAAGGTGGAGCCTAGAACCGGTGGCCGGTGTTGTTGTTTGATTGTGTGGAAAAAATGTTGTGTGTGTGTGTGTGTGTGTGTAGAAGTATTGCTTGTTGTGCAGCTTTTTTAACAAGCTATTTAACTAGCTGCGGCAATTGTTGTTGCTTAACTGCTTTTTATGTTCTCTCTCCTTCGATATGTATATATGTATGAATGTATGTATGCATGAGCTTGCTTGCCACTGAAGTGTTGACAAAATTGCCAAGATGGTGTCAACGCAAAGCAAAAATGGTGTCTTGTTTACATTTATTGCCTATTATTGTCAAACGCACACATATATACATACATATGTATGTGCTATATACACGTATGAGTGTTATTTGGCATTCAGTGAGTATTTATGTATGTATTGTTTCAGCTACTTCCAGGAACTATGTCTTGATGCTAGTCAGGATCTCGTGGAAGACGGAGTTATGCTTACGTACATACATACATATTACACTTTAGTCGTATACAGGGTCAGTACCACCGAAGCTGAGACGTCTGTGCTTAGTCATGAAGGCGAACTGATTGATATTTGCTTCAGCTCAAGCCAAGGTTTTGCGTTCCAAGTGTTGGTTTTTCAGAAAATGAACTTTAGAGCAGATTAAATTTTTATTTTGAACCTAATAAAACTTGCTTGGAAATGTTTAATTTGATTAAGTAAGGGTTAAGATAATAGCTATTCCGCTCATGCCAACGGTTGAGCGTGGATTTAGGGGTGCCAGAACTCTCATAAGAACATGAATTATCTTCCAGTGTTGTGCTCATTCAAGGCAACATCGAAAAGGCTCGAGAATATCATTGAGATTGAGCTGAAAATGGTAATGCCAAAAATTTCAAAATACCAAATTTTAACTGATCGTTTCTGTCTGACTTAGATGTTAATGAGCTTTATTCTGTGGAAAATTTGGCGCAAACATTTCAATTTATCTTGGCTGGAAATTCTACATTACAGGCATCGGATTAAATCTAGTTTTTTTTACTTACCTAGTGCTGAATAACCGCTTAGAGACCATGCTCTCCTTAAGGAGTCTGAAAAAAACTAAGCAAAAGATCCTAAAAATGGAAGCACTGCATCTTCTGATTGTCAAAAAACGATGTCAAAGTGCCTTCTGCGATTCTTCTTCCTCGATAGAGTAGGCACGCGATTATAGCCGTATCGTTAACGGTTTTGGTGCCAATTGGAAATATCTGATAAGCCATGTTGTTATCTTCCTTATCTTTTCAATGGAGTGGAGGTCTTACTCCTCCACCGCTTCGGCGTTAGTTTGTACTGCATCGACAACTTTGCTTTCCTTTATTCGACAGAGTGGACCTAATCGACGTAGAAGCTCGTGTCGTTTAACTTTGTCAACGTCGTGGCATTTTTCGTAAACCTTATAATTTCCTATCTTTCGCTCGAAAAACTTCTAATAACGACTTATCGGGTGGTGACATCATCCAAGCGTCTGCACAATATAGCAAAACGGAGTGCTGAGCTATGTTGAAGAGGTTTCTCTTTGTCCGTCAAGTGAGGACTGAGGCCTTTATTTAGTGGTAACTGTCGGGAAAAGTGATTCGGTGTGGGTTTTGGTCTCGTGTTTTGCGTCGGTTATCAAAGAAAGAACAACGAGATCCTTTCATTGAAGGGATTCAAACGGCCACGATCGGCATTCGCAAGATGCTGGTTACAGATAGCATTCAAAAATTATTCACTGATTTAAGTCATTGGTAACCGAGAAGATATTTAACTTTCAATTTCAATTTCAATTTCAATTTTTTTAGTCAATGATTTTCAAATACCACAGGGTAGAAGTACAAATTAATTAAAGACTTAAAACTCTGAATGTATACTAAGAATAAAAAGCATTAAGGATAGAGCCAAAACGAGATCTCGGGTATGAGAAATGAAGATCAAGCCTTCTAGAGATTATATTTAACTCAGAGACTGCTCTAAGGATAGGATGGTAATTATGATAATTGGCTTTAATTACATCTAAATAGAAAGGATAATGAGAGCGCAAACTTCTATGAGGAGCATTAAAAGCTGATTTGCTCAAGCAGCTCCGACTGTCCGGATGGTGTGTTATATAAATAGTAACGACTGGATAGATCGTCGAAGAGCAAGATTTTTCAGATTTATTAGCATATATCGAGAAGTATAAGAAGGTAGCATACTCCACCTTTGAACAAACCAAAGAAATTGAAATTATGTTAACGAGTTTTCAAAAAAATAAAAATTCAATTTATTAAAATATAGTAAAAACAATAAAGAAGACCATGCCTGAGTATAGGCCATGCCTGAGTATAGGATTTTTTGAACAAAATTTTTTTCACTGATGAAGCACGTTTATCACTACGGAGGATACGAAAATAAACATACACATTTGAGGCTCCT